AAGAGGGAGACCTAGTGTTAGAGGACTTTTTTTGTTCTCCTTTTGCATGGATCCCCCTTATAATTCACACAAAACCCTATCTGGGATAAGGATCTGGTATGGATTTAGAAGGGACCACAGGTTATTTTTTACATTTAAGACTGGGATGCCTTGCGATTTTGTGTACCTTTTAAAGGGTGCCACGACTGAAAAAAAGAGTGAGAAACACTGGAATAGACCAAACCATTCATATTTATTACTGAAGATTTAACTATTCTCTTACTCCAAATAAAATGCATAAACAGATGCTAATGTCCCCATTTTTTTTTTTTTTTACAGATCTACCAATACTGGTCTAACATATCTTAGAAAAAAAGGGTTTGCACAGATATAAACTTTGAGTTTATAGATAATTTTTTTAAACTTTGTTTTGGATAGAATGTGGAAGGGTTAGAGTCTATATCAAGGTTTTCCCTCCATCACTACGGGAAGTGATAAGAAGTCTCTCCAATGAGATAACATTTCTACTTTTCAATAAAGTGGGGAAGGATTAGAGCCCCTGGCAGGTTTCTATTGCTATTCAGGGCTCTTTTGAAGAGATTTCTCTCCACTGGCATGCTGACATGAGATGGGAAATAAAGGGAGATCTGAAAAAGATACAGACAGAAATAAAAATGCTCCTTTTTTTTTTTTCTTCAGCAGACTAGGAAATAGCTAGAATGCCGGACAGCTTCTTTCATTGCTGTCTGTTTCTCTGTTGCAGAGTTTTACTCACTTCCTGTTTGGTAAAAACTATTCTCACTATGGTAATTGGAAAATAAGTCTTTCTAACAGCACCCTGGATAGCAGTAAAAATGCAACAGGGGCTCTAATCCTTTCTCACGATACCTAAAACTAAAAAAAAAAAAAGAAGTTTTGGCTGGAAATAAACTTTAGGGATATTGTACTAACATGTGGAATGGTCAGAACTGTTACCAATGTTTTTATTACTGTCTGTGCTTTTCTGCCCAAGTGACAACTGCTTCCCCTATCTTTTGTTCTTACTGAGGGACTAGAAGTGAGGAAAATATGTTCCCTATAGAGGTCACATCGGGAACATGATAAAAATGTTGACTCTTAATCACTCTATATTTTAAAGCATTTTTTGCGCAGATTTGTACACTATTTTCTACGTATTTTCAGGCTTCAGCAATTTTGTTTCAGCCAATGGAAAGCAAAATCATGTGAAAAATACTTGTTTTGCTACAAGTGACTTGACGCTCAGGTGTAATGGGCACCAAAAAAAATAATGGGACTCTCCATGTTGAGCATTGTCGCGCTTCAAGAAAAGTTCAGCAAAAAGGTCAGGTGTGAATGGGGACTCGGAATTCAAGTGAATCATTATGATGACTTTTTAAAGTATTGGCAATTAAAAAAAGTATAATTGTACAGGTTATCCTCTATATATTGATGTATTATTTGTGCTAGCAGATATATCACTGTATGCATGTGGGTTGTAGTTTTAGCCAGAAAAGTATTTGTATTTATTCAACATCTCAGTGTTTGGGAGGAAGTTACACAGCGAGCATGGCAAAAAAAAAAAAAGGCGGTTTCCCTCGTACGTAAGCGAACCATCTTAATATATATATTTGTATAACTATATATCAATACAAAAATATTTGTTGTGCTCATTGTGTACCTTCCTCCCAAACCTCTGAGCTGTTGAATAAGAAGGCTACCTTCATGTATGATCTTACTATCTAAATGTAGATATTTTGTATGATATATATATAGTAAGCTCACACATGAGGGCAGCCATCTTATTTAACAGCTCAGTGTTTGGGGGGAAGGCACACAATGAGCACAGAAAATATTTTTGTATATATAAATATATATATTTTTAAATATCTGTGTATTCTGTTGTGTGTCTTCCTCCCAAGCAGAGTGAGCTATTGAATAATAAGGCTGCCCTCACATGTGAGCTTACTCTCTAAATGTAAATATCTGTGTATTCTGTGGTGCTAGTTGTGTGCCTTCCTCCCAAGCAGAGTGAACTGTTGAATAAGAAGTGTGCCCTGACGAGTGAGCCTAGCCCAGTGAGTCCATTCCAGCGTACAGCGCTCCACCCCAGGTGTTGTTCAGGCTTTTCCTGGTCTCCCAGCTGACTAGCAGCTCTTGTTTACTGGTTGGATATTGGTTGGAAAGGAGGGGGCGAGAGACTTTGCAAGAACTAGTACCATCCATGTATAGATTTTCCTCCAGATTTTTCGGTTCCGGCACTTTTTCGCACGCTTCTTCGGAAAGCTGAGCAAAGCAGGCAAGAGCAAGGATTCCCGGTGGCCAGGCGTCCGCTGCTATTCGCCCGAAGACATTTTCCCAGCGCTCGTCTTTTCGACTCATGCGCTGGGCCCCATGTAGGAATCCACACAGGGTATATTCCAGCTGTTGTGTGCGGTGGTGATCGTTCACCTCTAGGAAATGGTCTTTCGTCCACACTGCTAGGTTGGAATCAGAAAATAAGGCTGCCTTGGTGTTTAAGTTTCAGGAAGATCTGATTTCTCCTGTGTTCCCAGAAAGAAGGAAATTTGACGTGTGCCTCTGATCTACTCTATATAAACACAAGGGATCTGAAACTGTGCTTTCACCTGGATATTTCCATCCACATTGCTGGGACGATCGCTATACTGTCTCTGAGGAATTTCGGGGCTACATCCCGCCCTCTAATTAAAGCTGCTATTTTCCTGCATTTCTTCATCATGCTGCCAAACCACATGAGCTGGAAGAATCACATCATTAAATAGGGCTCAGCTGGGATCCTCCAGATCTGTATTGGGAAGGGACAGTGCCGTGTGCGCGGGGAAGATCTACGAGGAAGCTTGACATGGGACTGGGTGAAATGGTGGGTGTGGGGCACCCCAACAATAACCCCGTTCCCAGATCCAGCTGGACTGTACTGGCCATCCTTACCATCGTCATTCTGATCCTTTGCGGCCACAGCCATGCAAAAAGTAAGTGCACGCTAAATGACTTACGTGTCACCGCTATACTTTGCATTGCCTTTGTTATGTAAGGGGGTGGCTGCTTTATTTGTTACATCAGTGTTTTGTTTACAAAAGCTACGTGAAGTATAAATGGCCGGCGTTCACGGTCCTTCCGGTTTCGCCTGTGGGTCACGCGCGCAGGCCTCGCCTGCCCAGGCGCGAGGTGGCATCGCTGAGGCGGCGTGGCCAAACTCGAGGCTGCGCCCTGCGTACTAGGCCTCACAGCTGGTTTCGGTCGAAATGGTAAACAGTGGGGGAGGGGTCGGTGTGCTTTCTGGGGACGCCGCCTCTCGATAGGCTACGTTAACAATTTCACATAGACGCAACGTCCACATGTGTAAATGCTGGAGGGGAAGGGCAACCTAACGCTGTGTCTCATTGAGGTTTATTGACAGATAGGGCCGGCTGCTTCATGTTGACAGGCAATGGCTTTAATATTAAACATGGTTTGTTTATCATGTTAGAGCCCAGTGCCGGGCGAAGCTTTTATTTGGTTGGTTAGTACCCTTGTCACGTTTACGTTGCTTATTTCTCCTCACTTCCTGTCTAGTTTATGGCTGTCCGATAAAACAGGAAGTCAGGAGCAATGCCTCAATGAGGGGACAGCAATAAAAATACACTTTCTAGCAGAGCAATGTTGGTTTCATTCACTAAAACAAACAAAAATGTTTCAAAATGGCTTGAAAATGCCAACGTTCAAGTGTAAATGATGGCTGAGAAAGCCTGTCTGTGTTTTATTGCCGTTTGTGTCCCCGTGGTAGTTTTCCGTTTGCTTCCTCAAAAGATGGTGGGCGTATTGCTGCGTTCACGTGCTATTCGATAGTAAATATGATGTCTGGGACTTGGAGGGACACGGTGGAGAATTTAGGTAGCATTGTGTCAGAATTACAAGTTCAGCGCATTTGCATGCATTTTACAAGTTAGAGCCTTCTGTTTTGTATAGCATCAGACGGAATAGGACACAAGGGGGTCTCTATTCAAGAGGGACAGATACGGCATATAAAATGTGACAGATGATGTAACCCAGAGGAGGACAAATTAATACGGAATTCAGGAGCCAGTCTGTCCAATCCGGGAGCCAGCTTCATTGACCATAACTACAGAAACCTCAAAAGTTAGGTGACAGCTGTCATTTCTAAGGAGCATCGGCTACCTTGGCCAGCTTTGATCAGGATAAAAAAATGTTTTGACCGGAGTTGGGGTTTTAGGATTTGATGTGAGTTGTTAAGCACTGGGAGATCAAAGTGCAATTGCAAAATAAGGCAGTGTTGACTATAGAGGGGTACAATTTCAGAGAAGAGGGGACTCTGTCCTTTCTTGTGTGTAAGCTACATGCAGGTCTGTTTTTTGTTTGATAAGCTGACTATAAAGCACTGGTAGATTTTCGTAGATGTTCACATGAAAAATCCCATCAGAACATTAATTAATGCCATCAGAGACGTGATCAGTGTCATTCCAAATTTGATTTTAGAATGAATGGAGTTTCCTAAACGAAAACCACGATCACTGTTAGAGTTTTATTCATTTGAGAAACCTTTTCCTTCCTGTACCTTCAATTTTTTTTTTTTCATCAATACGGTTGAAAACGATTGTTGATTTGACCTGTTAACTATTAGAAGATGGAATGAACATTCCAAAAACAAGGCCAGTTTTAGATTTTGTTTGATAGTAAAAGCGTTTGCATAATCTCGTTCTCGTTCAGTAAACAGGCAGTAACTGTGTAGGCATTCAGAAGGGAAAAAAAAATCAGAAACCTGGAAAACAAGTTGTTGACAAGACTAACAGGGTTTTTCACAAATGGGTGAAGCGTTTGGAGAAGGCCGAAGAAGTGAACAATCTAACTTCCCCTACCTTCTCCAAAGTCTTCACCCTTTAGTGAATAGCCCTGTAAGAAATAGTTGTCGTTGCTTGTCATGCTCAGCTATAGTACAGGGCCAGGTAGCTGATCTTTATGCATATTGCATGATCTGCTTTTGTAGAACTACTGCGATGATAAGTCTGCATTCCGATACAAAGCACTCGCAGTATCCAAAAAGTGTTTTTAGCGTAACGTATTCAAAGGCAGTTTTGTTTTTTTGTTTCGGATGCAGTAAGCAATTGTTGAAACCCTGTCAGGTTTTTATTGTTTCCAATCAATTCCACATACATTTGCCACAAATATATGCTGCTAACACATCTGCTTTTAATACATCGAGCGGAATGTATTAAAATTGGAGCAGCTGTGCATGGCAACCAATCAATCAGCTTCTGTCTTTCATTTTCAAAGCTTAACTGAACAAACTGAAGAGAGAAGCTGATTGGTTACTATAGGCAACTCCCCCAGATTGTCTGCTGCAGTTTTGAAGAAAAAAATGCTCCAATAGTGTTTTTAAGGAGTACTGGCTATTTTTTGCTTTGGATTCATACAGTGCCACTGTAGGCCACACAACATACTACACTGATTTTGGGCAATGGTGCAGGGCAGGATGTTGGGTAGATTCACCCTCTATTTGTCTTGGTGACCATTTTCCCTAAGACATAAAGTGAGGGGAAGATCTATCATTTTTAATTTGTCACTGGAACACAACATGGGGGGTGTATCCCAGTGGGGACACTTGTTCCAGTGACAACTAAAGTTGAATTAGAGAAATCCCTTGCTTTTCCTCCTCCATCCACTCTAAACAGTGTAGATGGAGGAGTTTGCCCAGCCAGCTATTTTATTCTGACAGCATGCGGCAGCTGTCAGGGTATAGGAATGATGACTTAGCTGATTGGCTTTCTCACACGGTCATGGGTGCGATGGGTTATAGATATTGACTGTATTCAGGCAGCTGCATTTCTTCCCCCAACACTAAAAATGTAACGGGGAGCTGCTGTTTACATATATTCAGAAATTTTGGAAAATAGACGCTTTGTATATAGACATTTGTATAAAGGTGGCCATACAGTGTGCGAAATCTACACAGTGGCTGTTGAACCGTTTCTTCGGCCAGCATCCTTCGATCAGCTGATTGAAGGAGCCGTTCATGAATCTTTGAACAACAGAGTGGGCGGCCAATGAGCTGCTGGCTCTGTACAGGTATTCTGACAGTGGCTGCCGGCCGCTGTCGGAATACAATGAAGACAATGGGAGATTCCTCCATCAACATTTGTAAGCGTTGATAAAGGAATCTGTTCTAATTTTTTCGTTCAGCCTGCGGGTTAAATGGAAAAAAAAATTTGAACAGTGTATGGCCAGCTTAAGACTTTCCTGTTGTGTATATTGCCAGTACACTATGCTTAGCGTATAGAGATGAGCCATTTTCTTTAGTCCTTGTACAGTTTTATGCACTTTGGGCACAGTTCCTATCAGATGTAAGTAACCATACACTGACATGAGATAGATTACAATTTCTTAGAAGTTAGCAACATTTCTGCATTAGAAGTTCAAAAATAAGCTTACCTTACCCCCAGTTTCTACCCACGGGGGCTAAGCAGGAGTGGTGGCACCATAATCCTGTGACTGCTAAGGATCACAGGTCTCCCAAGAAGATGCCACTGTGCAGGAGCATCTTCTTGCCTGATGTCGGATAATGAAGCCACCCGTACACTTTGTAAATTTTGTCTGGTTCTTGGTCTAAATTTGCTCAGTTGGTGGCCCTGTTGGCAGCCTTCTGTTTGGCATCAGAGAATCGGAGGAAGTGGCCGGAAAATGTTCCGGCGAACAAAATTATTGGATGAAACAATTCCCATGATTTCTAAACATTTCCAAACTTATTTTGGCCAATGTGCCGATCAATACTCTATATCTGAGCTGCATGACTCGCAGGCCATACAGATCTGCTTGGAAATATTCTGGAAAAGAAGAATTAGTAAATTGCTAATTTTTGATTCCCATGGGTGTTTTCATCGTTCTGATCTGTGGGCAGCAAAGCAGCTCAGATATCCAGACAGTCATGATCAATGGATTATATGTTTTCTGCAGATTGGACAAGTCTGCAATTTAGGTAAATAAATTTAATAAAATACTTATTTGCTTGATTTTTGCTAATTGCCTCACTCATTCCTAATAACAAGAGGGTGCCACTCTGCCTGTTGTATTTTGTTGTTTTGAAGGGGACAGAGGTAGGAGCTGTAGGTACGCGACTCCATTGGAGTGCTCAAAAAATGTAAGAAGCCAAGAGGTTAATATGCCCACCAAGCACAACCCATTAGAGAATTACAATTGTATGTAAATGACACATTAATATTTGGTGAACCATAATATTTCATGGTATACCAATAATGTGCCTTTGGAAACTTTGGTCGTTTTGCTGTATTTTAAATTGCACCATGTTTTAAAGAGGACCTTTACACATGTCTTTAAAATAACAATAAAGGCACCTTTAGAAATGTTTAATGACAATCTACAAACACATACTTCTAGATAATTGCCGGCTTTTTATTATTTGCATATCTTATTTCGCTTTTCACAGCGGCCATGTTAACTACGGGCAAACTACTAGCTCTCCATTTACTTCCTGGAACTCTGGCACATGTGACTAGAAAATACCTTTCCCTGAGATCTCATGAGATTTCCCAGTAATGCTCTGCTGATGTATACTTCCCAAGATGCAATGCTTTGGCACTTGCATAATTAGTGCCAGAACTGGACCAGGAAGTAGATTAACTGTATTTGTAAAGTAAATGAAAAACAAGTTTTGTTTAACTAATGAATGTATGCTGATTTTAAATCAGCATGCAGAGCTGTATGCTATTGGATTTTTAGTAAATAGGGGTAAAGGTCCACTTTAAGTTTTTTTTAAATTTCTGTGTGTTTGGTAATCATTTTTAATATATTTTGCATTTAATATAATTTTGATATCACAGTACATTAGACTTTGTGACCTGAATTGCAGCAAGAAGTCTCCTATTATAGGCATATGAGAAATTGGCAGCCTAATTGAACTTTTATCAGATGTCAATATTGTATTTTCCAGCACGGATTCTCACAAAGTTAGGTACAAAGC